AAAAGTACCTCACAGGAAATTAGGGCTGCATCTTCCCAAAAGAGGTCTTGGTTGGTGCCATGACAGGGTGGCAGTGCAGGGTCATCTACCACGTGACCCCTGTTCTGACGACAACAGCTTTCAGCGTCAACGACTGCCAATTTAGCACCATTTACAAGTTTTATATTAAATTAAATAATGACAACTGAAAATATAACCAAGAATGAAGAAAAAGCCAAGTTAAGGTTTACATTTTAAAATCCCAAAGAAGAAAAAAAGGTTTAGAGTTGGCTGGTGTTTCTCTTCAAAAAAATAACAGATGCTCCTTTGTATGAACTAAGTTCCCAGGATGCAAGCCTTCCATGATTTGCCATGAATCACGTCCCCACCCCTACTGCAAATCTCACACAACTCTTACCCCCCCGACTGCATTGCCAGGGAGGAAACCAATGCGTGCTACCGTCTGCAACAGGCAAGAACCAAATGGGTCCCCGTTTTAGGTGAGCCATGACCAAGCTGGGGAATTCACAATCGACGGAAGGAGCTGTCCGGGGCAGCGGAAGCCTGGAAGAGCTCTGGGGCCACATGCTGGGGGGACAGTGTCTGAGTTTACTGACTTAAGTATAACATTTCAGAATGAATATCACTTATTTCTTTTCGCCTTTTTAAAATATTGCTTTTAGAAAACATTACACTGGGGTGCGGCTTGTGTTTTATTTCTGTTGGACAGTCCTGAACTAGAGGGTTAAGTGGAAACCACACTGTAACGACCATGGACGTGATGCTCCTGACCTTCGGTTCCGGCTGGACATTTGCTGTAAGCGCACACAGCGGGTCAGAGAGGGTGGGAGTGAACACAGATGTCTGGCTCTGATCTGACCCTTCCAGGTGGTCAGGCTGTGGCCGCCTCCACGTCAGGAAAGCCTCCGGAGACAGAGGCCACTGTGGGCCACACGATCTCGGTGCTGACCTGAAGCAGATGTTCTCACAGCCTTGAGCTCCACAGCTCACCCCGCTGATCCGCGGATGAAGCGCTCTTCAGAATACGAGTTGTTCCCAGTGACCACGTTTCCCCTAACAAGCAGTGCCCAGCTGGAGCAAAGGACCATGAACACAGGGTCTGGGAATGGGGACACAGGCCCCACAGGTCACACCTGCTGACAACAAGCCGGGTGTGCCTGCATCACCCTACCGGCAATCTGAGGTCTGCCCCGCTGACGGCAGATCCCCAGGAGAGACACAGTCAGAGGAGCTCTGTCGCCCTCGTTCCCTCCCACTGACGGGATGTAGTGTGTGAACCTGCCTGAGTCACTTTCGGGTCTCTGTGTCCTGGGTGGGGCAGTGGCTACTATTTCCTAAGCGATCGCTTACACTCCAGAGTATCTGGGGCAGGCACGGCGGCCTTCCCCTCGCCCAGCCTGAAATATGGCAGTGACCCCAGCCTGACTCTCGCTGCTTGCAGGTTCCAGAGGCGGCACGCCGTGTGTCCGGGCCCGTGTTGCCGGGCAGCGCCACTGCACCGCTCAGGGAGCTGAGAGGAGGCCATCTGAGCAGGCGTCCTTCCCAGGGACTGGGGTCAGGCTGGAGTGCGGCTCCAGCTGCCACCCTGCAAGTGCTGCTGGAAGCCTCCCGAGGCCACGAGAAGCTCTGGAAGAAGAAGGCAAAGCCACGAGCAGCCTCCAGGGGTAGTGCTTCGTGCAGAGGACGGAGGAGTCAGAAAGGGCGACGCGAGAGAAACACAGGAAGTGTCAGAGCTGAGGGCCAGCTGGGCAGCAGAGCCAGGGAAGTGGTCTTGTCCATGTTCACAGGCTGAGGAAGGGGCGGAGGAAAGACAAGGAAAGCGGGCGTGTTTCAGACACAGGGCTCCTAGCAACCACGTGGTCCTCGGGGTTCCTGCCGTGCACCTGCGAGCCCGAGGGACAGCGGGAGCCTTAATCCTGGGAAGAGGGTCCATGAAGCCCCAGGGTAGGCACCAAAAGGTGGGGTACCAAACTCTCCTCACGGGGGCCAGGGTGCAGGAGTGCTTTCTAAGACCCTCCAGGGGGGTCGCCCTGAACAGACACAGCGAACAAGGACCTGCTGGGATCAACTCAGCTTGCAGGGCAACTCAAGACAAGCTGTGACAGAGGAGGATGGGGTTACTTCTGTGAACTAAATCACACAAACTGGTCAGAAAGCTGGATATCCGAACTAGGGATTTGGGGAGTAACTTATATTATTAGCATTTCTTTTTACTTGACTTTAATCTATTGCTTTAAAAGGCAACAGATGCCTTGGTGCACTGAGACTTTGATATTAAGAGACTGATTAGCCATCACTTCCTAAAGTTGCAAGTAGCCTTACTGGTCAAGAAGACCTACATTTTAAACCCATTTTCCAGGCTTTATTTCCAAAGTAAATGAAAAGTTAACAAGCATATTAAGATTTTTGCATTTAAATTTCTTGTTGATACTATCTGCTTGTATGTTTAAGGCCTCCTTCTTGAACACTATTATGCAACAAACACCTGGTGAGTTTGCTTCTTTAATCTGAAACGTGAACACATAAACCTCAAGGATAAAATAGAAATGATTTTCATTCCTAAGAATGAAAGCCTGTAATTAAAACATGACATCTTACTTATAAAAATGTAGTTTAGTAAAAAAATAAATAAATAAAAAATAAAGACATTAATACCTCATAAGTCTGCAACTGTTCTCTGTTGTAGGCATTCAGCAACTCACTTTGGGGGGAAAACATTGCAAAAAAAATTGCTAAAATACACTATACACATACGTCCAGATGCTCAAGCCCTTATATTTAGAAGCAACCTTCCCTAGGTGAAGAGATCTCAGTCAAAACAGCAACAAACAAACACATAAATAACAGGAGTCAGGGAAGGCTGCGGTGGAAGGTGTGGCCCGAGAAAGAGACACAGAAGCTCAGGCACGTGCTCCCACGGGGACGCCCAGGGCCTCACCCTGCAGTTCAGCAGCGTGTACAGCACGTGGTCAGGGGTGGTCTGCGCCCTCCACTGCAGGACCTCCGAGAGGAACAGGAACTGGAACAGAGCACAGCCGTTAGGTCCAGACTGTCCCGAGAGCCGGGCTGACCTCAACATTTAAACAGGCGTGGTCTGCCTGAGTGCTTTCAGGGTGCCTTCGCACAGCGAGGGGATCATCCCTGACGAATATAATCGGCAGAACCAGCAGGTGCTTACGATGCTTTCCTGGCAGCGACCTGAACTCACCGTGCCTGATTCAGACTCACAGGCCAGAGGGCTGGTGCCCTGCCTCCATTACGGAAGAGTTCTGAAATCTCCCCATGGACGGGAAGACTCCGTTCACTCCCCTCACAGACAGGATAACTGACACAGAAAACCCCTTCCCCTGGGCTTCCAGAAGATGCAACAGTGATGTCTGGGGGCTGCAATGACAGAATCAGATCGACCCTGCTTCAAGAATGGAATCTCTTAAATTTGTTTTTCAATGGTCATCCCTGAAGTCGTTCAACAGCACTGCAAAGCACACAGCTTGTAGGCACCAGGCTGACAGTCTGGTGACAAGGATGGCCCTATTTCACGCCAGGACACAGCACTAGGGTCAGGATACAGCAAATACCCACATATTCACCTTAATCCACGACTGAAAGAAATGCACTACGAGCTGGGGAACATGGTGATCCAGTGCTTTCACTGAACATGTTATCATGTGTTACCCAATTGGCATTATCTTAAGTGACTGCTTTGTCACATTTCCTGGGAGCCCCCCCACAGCAGGACTACCTTTGGGAGAGCGGGAGGAGTTCTGGGGCTGAATGGTCATCATGGGGACTCGCAGCCACACGGGACCAGTTTTCATGTTTACATGGAGTTTCTCCCACAGATCCCAAGGCTGCTTTAAGAATGTCTGCCTCCCAGACCTGGGTTCTGAACTGATATTTTCTTGAATTCCGACAATCAAAGGACTGTAGCTTCGCAATAATGTGGCTGTGAGGCAGCCTGGGTGTCACATCAGGGCTGTGGGAGAACCAGGAACAAGTGCTCAGGGGATAAAAGGACAGGAAGGGACCCACACTGGCCGCAAGCCTGCCAGTCCTGGGACTGTGCTACTGTCAAGCGTCCCCCAACACTGCATCTCCCAACAAATGCGCTTTCCTTATAGAGCCACATGGTGTCG